ATATATTATTGCTTAAACTTCGGCATCTATACTGCTCATATTTCCTTTCTCTTTGTATTTTCCACTTTGATAAGCACAAATTTTTTCTTCTATCTTGTCGCTGTATTTATTGGGCCTAGCTTTTAACACAGCTCCCCATCCTTGGAAATTACCATCGGTTTCAATTATTAAATAATCAGTTTCTAGTGGTATACTTAATTCTGGAATTATTTTTAACTTTTTCTTTAATTTGTTGGACTAATTTAATGTCTTCTATATTGAAAGGTTTTTGCCCTTTGCTACCTGTTTTAGAGTATAGTGGTCCTTGGTAGTTTTCCTAAATCTTTAATAAAATTCCTAGCATAATTTACTAGTCCTAAAAATTTTTGTAAATTTTTGTATTGTCTAATTTATCCGGCATATCTAATACTTTTGTTGCTATATGTGGTTGTAATTTAATTTTTCCTTCTCCTAATGTTACTCCTAGAAAATTTATATGGTTCTTACATAATTCCATTTTCATTTTACTTACTATTATTCCATTTTTCACAAATAATCTAAACACTGTCTGTAGATGTCCTAAATGTTCTTTAATATCTTTACTAAATATTAAGATATCATCTACATATACTAAGACAAACCTTTTATAGTCACCAAATATAGTGTCCATATATATATATATATATAAAATTTATAATCGTAAAATTTAAAAGTCTTTTTACTTTTTTAAAATTTTGTGAGATGTAGCAACCAATGATGAGAAAGCACAAGTTGGAGCAAGATGACCTTAATTAAGCTCCACCTCTACCTCCCTCTTATGGTATGAGGTAAGTGTCAAAAATAGACTTATACTATTTATATTTTTTGATTTTATATTTAAATTATCATTTATTAGTTTGAGAAACACACTTCAATGGTGTGTGTAATACACTTTCTCTTTTTTTATGGAAAAAATCTTGATACATCACATTTCATATGAATAAAATATTTCACCTTGACAAAATTAAATAATAAATTATTAATATTAACTAAAATTAAAGATTAAAATATCCCTATCCCCCAAAAAATTATTTTTAAAAATAAATTTTAAATTATTTTTTCTTACCCCCACTCCACTACCTCCTCCCCGTACCCCTCCCCGGACTATCCCCCATCCTTTTATTTTTAAAATTTCTTTTATAAAATATTTTATTTTTAGAAAAGTCTTTGCGACGACAAGTAATAAATATTTTCCTAAAAAGATATGTATATATCTAACACAAAACGAGAAAAAAATTGTAAGTGGTTACATTTTATTTTATAAGAAAATATTATTTTTTGGGATAATAATTTTTAATTTAAACTAATACTAATGATTTATTTAATTTTTGTTAAGGTGGAATGTTTTGTCCATGTGGAGTGTTATGTGACAATTTTTTTTTAAATAAAAGAGAGAGTGTAGTACACAGAGTGTAATAAAAGAGAGGAGCGTGTTTCTCAAACTAATAAATGATGATTTAGGTGTGAAAACTAAAAAATTGATAGTTTAAATGTATTTTTGACACTTATTTCTATTATTATTTTAGAGCAAATCTGATTATGTTTAAAATAAATTTGTTAGCCTTAAGTGATTTTGTTAGTTTTTAAAAAATTGAGGGATATAAATTATAATTAAAAAGAGTACATATTTTTTTCTCAAAAAGTATAATTAAACACAACTTCAATTCCTATTTTTAAAATTTCAAATAAAGTGAGTTGTTTTTGGACTTCATGGCAAAAATGTCCACGTAAACTTTGTATCTAGTTAAAATTAGACAAACAAATTGAAAAAAAGATAGATAATATATTAATAATACTCCTATAAATAGTATAGTATAAAGTATAATCACTTGTCACTTGTCATTTTGTGTGAAATAATAGTCAAAAAGCCAATTCTACGTCATTAATTTGTTTGATCATACGTATGCTACCTAAAAAATTGACCACCATGTTCGTAGATACTTTTTTCCAAATATTAAAGTTATTAATGTGACATCGGATTCCAATGAAGCTATTTGCTCTAATTTATTTCTAGTATTTTACGTCCACATTGTGCCAATCTTATTCATTGCCGTCAGGGCGGAGCTGTGAGTTCGATCGAATTCAATAAATTTTATTCAGACAATATAATTATATTAATAAATTCATCAATATATAAATATTAAATTTAAAACTTTATTACTATCACTTAAAATCACCATTATAAAATTAAGATGCCACAAAATTGAAACCCTAACTTCGACTTGGATGGCCACAAAATACCTTATCATCTTTCCTATAAAATGGAGACACAAGGTCACTTCATTTTAGAATAAATCAACCTCTTTTTCATCACAATATACACTATAGAAAACCTAAATTTACTTCACTATAGAAATGATGAACCAAAGTACACACCAAAAGCCTCATGCTATATTATTTCCTTACCCCCTTCAAGGTCATGTAATTCCTTTTGTTAACCTAGCAATCAAACTTGCATCCAATGGCTTCACAATTACCTTCATAAACACTCAATCAATTCATCAACAAATATCGAAAGCCGGTCGATCGAACATTAATGATAACGAGGGCAATGATCTCTTCTCGGGTGCACGAAAATCAGGCCTTGATATACGAGATGTGTCTATTTACGATGGTTTTTCTGTAGATTTCGATCGTTCACTTAATCATGACGAATTTTTTGAAGCTATCCTGAATGATTTTGTTTTTCATGTCGATGAGGTTGTTGGAACATTGATGCTCTCGAATCCATCACCAAATATACTAATTGCTGATACTTTTTATGTATGGTCATCAACCATAGCTAAAAAGTATAATCTTGTGAATGTTTCGTATTGGACGGAGCCAGCTCTTGTTTTTAGTGTGTATTATCACATGGACCTTCTAAAGCAAAATGGACACTATGATTGCATTGGTAAGTATCCCTTCGTTTTAATTTAAGTGTTTTAATTTGATTAAATATAAAATTTAATATATAAAAAAAAATATATGGTCTTAAATTAAAGATATATGTAATCTTTTAAATCGTGTAGTTCTAAGCTTGTCATGTAGGACGTTGGAATTTAAAAAAACTTACTAAATATAGAAACAAACACTTTTTGTTAAAGCCGACTAAAAAAAGGTAAAAAGTACATAAATTTCTTAGTATTACGAGTTAATTACATCATATTCCTACTCTTTTCTAAATAACAAAAATTACTTAAATTTATAGGATCTCAGATACATCAAAAAACCTATAGATACATAGCTCATGGATTGCGAATGATACATTACTTGGCGGGAGGGATGTATCCGAGAGGGGAGGAGTGTATTCGAGAGGGAATAGAGATGTATCCGAGAGGAGAGAGATGTATCCGATAGAAGATAGGGACTATCCGAGAGAGTATTTTTGTATTATTATTTTTTGAATGATAGTGAATTTTAGAGATTATGGTAAAATAATATGTGTATTTATGTAATTTTTCAAAAATAAATAAAAATAAGACACTTAAATTGAAAGAAAAAGAATATTTAATTTACACTT